CATCAAAATGAAAGAGATATGTATGATTTTGGACACTTGCTCTGCCCCTCTTCATTCATTCCACAAATATTTATTGCTCATTAGCTCTAAGCTACACTCTTACTAAATGAAAGGAATGGGGCAGGGAGGAAAAACTGTTATAGACCCTGTCCCATGGAGTCTTCTCTCTTGCTTATGCTTTTGAGTCTTGAGATCTTTGGAATGTCATTTAATCTCTGCAAGGCAAGAATATTAATAAATACCTCATAGTGTTTCTAGGAAATTTTGAGTTATGTTAAATACAGCACCTTGCATGTAGTTGGTGCCCAACAATTTACCTCCCACCAACAGACTCTTGAGGAGCAGAAAAGTATACATCCCTATTAATTGGGGCACTTCCAGATGAATACTGAAATTCCATGGGTTCCTGTAAGACGCATGATATACATTGTACCCTACAAAAGGCCTCAGCAACGAAAATCCTCTTAGTAGCTAACCAGTGATGGGGGAAATGGGTCACCAACTAAGCTGATTACACTCCAGGCTTTCCATTCAAGCCAGATATATTTGCTGGAATTTCCAGACAGTCTAACTAAAATCTGGCTAGGTCTCTGGAGCTCCTCTCAAGGTAAAAATCCAAAACAAGGAGAGTGCTGTGGGTACAAAGTTTGTGGCAGACAAGGAGACATGCCACCTAGATCACTCTTCACGGGATGAGTTGATGCTAAGCTGCAAGGAGTGCTTGCCCGAGGTCATGACCTTCCCAAGGAAGCCCACGCCCAGTGACTGAAGGTGGTGAGGGCCTGGCCAATTTGGCCTGATGGGGTTTACTCTGGCGAGCAATTCTCACTCCAGAGCACCCTGCCAGGTTTGCCAAGACCATCAGATTTCCTTCATGGAAGGATGTGATTCAACACATGGGTGTCCTAAACCACTAGTGGATTTGTTTCTCTCCCCTTACCCAAAATATAAAGGCCTAAAGGGCCTCCATTCCTGACAATTTCCTCTCTGTCCATCCCATGCCAGCCTTTTCAAATGAATCTAGCTCCACCCAACTGTCCCGAAGTTTGCTAAAAGCCCATGAAGAACACCCAGTGATATGCCATCTCTGGGATCATCTAGGCCAAGTCTCCACTGCCTCTTCTCCTCTCCTGACCTCCTCATCCTCTGGTTTCCTTATTTGGCAGATGGACATAAGGAGTAGTCTATGGAGAGGTCAAACAGGACACTAGGACAATTAAAGTTAGCTTGGGTCATGTTATTTATCCTAACCTGTGGTTAAGTGTAGTCCCAAAACTCTAGAGACCCTGACACCCAAGGAGAGGGGGTCTAAGCATATTACAACCCCATGTCCCCTCCTGCAGGATGCTTTTTGGAACTTGACTCTTAGAGTTCTTTGTTGAGACAGAGTTACAGGATGTGGAGTTACGCTGTGCTTATAAAATAGATAATAAATAGCTGTGGGGCAGCAGCTCCCTGGTTTGTCTTAATAGGATCTTAATAAGAGAGCGTCCTGTCTATTCAATTGGGAAACTCCACTCACCACCCCAGTATTCGTGGAACTTTGGGATAGCTCCGACAGAGAATGAGGCAACCTACCAGGTAGCAGACACGCTGTCCTCCCTTTCTCTCACGCTAAAGGTTCTTTCCCACTCGGTCCATCTGCACCCAGCCATGTCTGAGACGGTCTCCTCGGCTACCTGCGGCAGACACACATAAGACTACATTTCCAACCTCCTGGAAATAGGTGGGTCATGTGACTCATGTTCTAATGAAATATTAGAGGAAGTGATATTTGAAAAGCCCCGACGTGATCCTCCAGTTTCTCTTAGTCCTCGTTGTGGCAACTGTTGACATTCCAGGTGGTGGAGCCTTCGCCAGCCTGAGTCGCTGAGTGAGTGAATGAGGCAGGGCCCTCCTCGGTGCTTATTTCCCACTCTCTCCCATAGACTCTGTGGAACAGGAATACATGTTTGTGTGTTAAACTACTGAAATGCGGGAATGATTACCATAGCGTAAGTCCAACCTACCCTGACTACAATGCCCTTGCAGCTAGCAAAATATACAGAAGTGCTTGCAAATTAATTTTTGTCTTTGCTAGATTACATGTAAATTAAAACTTTCCAGTTCAGTCCTCTGGACAAATTGCTCCTGGAGTAGCTTGGTTGGCAGCCTAGGTTCGATAGCCCATGTCCACTCGCCAGGATACAATTTCTGTTATTTGTCATTTTGTACCCTGCAGCTTAGACAGGAAACCACAGATAAGTGACCTTGAACATACTCTCTGTCTGGTTAAGAGGAATATAACCATGTTGTAGTCAGAAAAGGACATGCCGGAGATGCCATGATTCCAACCAACCTCCCAACCAGGCTTCCAAGGCCAGTACCCTACAGGGTCACCACAGCACAAGCTGATCTTCAGCACTGGAAGGCCATAAATTCTTTTTCCAGGACACTTAGAGGAAATTCAATCTTCAGGGACTGACTCACACTAACCAGACCCTTATACTAAAAGACTAATATATAAGCCAGATTCCATTTTATTTTTTACAATGGGAATTTGTTTTTTCCAGTTACTTGAATATTCATGAGCACAATCCAGGATGATTCTTCCCTTCAACAGCAAACCAGGGAAGACAGAACACACAAAGGAAGGGTGGCAGATGGGTGTTTGGGTATTTGGAAGCTAAGCATCTTGGAGGCCTTTCCATCTAGATCGTGAGGATAGGCCCTAATGAATCATTGGAAAATTTGAATTTTCTCTCTCTCTCTCTTTCTCTCTCTCAATAAATACTAACAAATGCTTACTTTCAAATTACTTATTTTTCTTCAAATAATGTTCAATAAAACTGGCTAAATGTTAGCTGTCTTTAGACCAATAATTATTCCATCTTGATTAGCTCAGTCATCACAGACAACATCTTGATTGTTTCAACACATGGCTGCTTTCCTCTACTGCACTTACAGTTGTTCTAATTTGGGGGTGTATCTGTCACTCTCATAGATCAAACACTCAGAATTGAGTCTTGGGTCTCCAAAGACACAGCAGAAACACTTTTACAAATCTAGATAAGGGACTGGCAAACTACAGTCTCAGGGCCAAATCCCTCCTTGTCACTTGTTTTTGTAAATAACATTTTATGTGAAGCACATCACATCCACTAACTTACATAATGTCTACAGCTGCTTTCACACTCCATCAGCAGATGAGTAGTAGCAACAGAACCTAAGGCGTTTACTATGTGGCTTTCTTTACACAAGAAGTTTGCTTGACCCCTGATGTAGACAATGTCTTTGTCATCTTCCAATCAAATACTTTCTCTTACCAATGGCTGTGGCCCACAAGGGGTAGTCAGATGCACCCTCCAGGTGATGGGAACACCATGCTCACGTGCACAGGTGCTATTATGGTTCTGATCCCAGGTTCAGTGGCTCAAAAAAAAAAAGTCCATTTCCATAGTTACCCTGTTGTGAACTGCACTGTAGGGAATGATACTGAATACAGATCCTCTGCCTGGCCAGAAAGTTGTCAAAGAACTGGATTCCAAAAGAAAATCCATCACTGCCCTGCAGAAGTCATCCAACTCTTTGGTCCTCAAGGTTTGTCATCTGTAAAATCAAATAGCCCAGCCTCCACAGTGCGCGTCACGAGTATCCAATGTGAGGAGACTGGGGGAAATATTAATATATGGTAAGCCTTTTGTAATGTGAGTGGAGTGACTTTAGAAATCATGGCATCACACTGGTTTATTTCTAGAAAATATTCAACATGATATGGAGTCTCTTGCATGATACTAGCAAAATAATTTTCTTGGATCACTTGCTGTCCCCAAATTCCCTCAGTTGTTACCCAAAAGCTTGGCACAGGCACCCTGGATGTTTCCCTCACCAGAGCTCAGCCCTGTAAACAAGAAACAAATTGCGCCTTCTGCTGAGAATGTTGACAACCCAAATCCACTCCAGTGCACGGAGACAACAAACACCTCAGTGGTTCCCCAGGTTTAAGAAAACCTGAACAGAAATCCTCCTTTGAAGTGGCTTGCCAAGCAACCAGGAAGGCTTCAAGATGCCCTCAGGAAACCAGGTGAGTTTCGGTAAGAATCACAAAGGCTGTTACGCAGGGGCAGAGGTGAGCTGTGTGCCAGACAGCTTCAGGTGGGAGAGGATCTCTCAGATCCCTCCATTCGGACATTCTGAAGGCAAATCAGCAGTGATCTCTTGGGCATCATCCAAAACTCTAGAATTTATTGGAAATCAAGTGATTGTCTCTAGGCAGAATAGCACCCAGAGAAAAAAATGTTAGAATTGACTGAGAATAGTGTGTACAAGTGCAGGGAGTATGTATGTGTTTGTGTTAGTGCAAATGAGTGACCACAAATATGACTAATGCATAGAGAGACTGTGTGTGCGTGAGTGACTATGAGTTAGCACACATGTAATCAAGATGCAGTACAGGAGGGTGGGACGGACTGTTGACCATGGAGCCCAACTGCCTGGTCCAAATTCCAGAGCTATCATTGCCTAGCTATGTAATTGTGGGCAATACAGTAGATTAGATCTCTGTTCAGCAAATACTCGCTTTCCCCACCATCACCTTCATGGAAGAAGTGTCCTTACTTGCCCCATTAAAATTGGGTTTGGCCATGAGACTTGCTTTGGCAAATAGAATGTGGTCAGAAGTGGCAGTGCTCCAGTTCTGAACTGAGAACTTAAGAGGCAGTGAATGATTTTGCTCATTCCTCTGATACCGTCTGACCTCACCGGGAAAGAAGCCACCGCTCCTCTCCAGCCTGGGCTCCAAGTGAGACACAGAGCAGAACCACCTCAGTCAACCCACAGACCTGTGAAGGTGAAAATAAGTGTTTGTCATTGTATACCACTGAGATTTTGCTTTTATTTGTTAACACAGCAAAAATTGACTGATACGGGCAAGTTACTTAATCCCCCCAGGAAAATGGAGAGAATAGTGCTACCTGCTGCAAATGGTTGTGATAAGAATTCAATGAGTTAATGCAGATTAAGCACTCACAACACTTCCCGGCACATAGTAAGTGCTTAATAAGTATTAGCCGTTGCTGCTGCTGCTGCTGCTGTTGTATGTAAGTGTCTGAGTAAGCAGGTACTCGAGCGGATAAGAGTGGGTGAGCGTGTATTCAGGTATCACAGTGAGTGTGTGAGAGTCAAAGGACAGTGGACGGGGCAGGCGTGTGAGTGGCAGGAGCTCGCCCCTCAGCAGAAGTACTCGTTCATCCGTCTGCCTCCCCTGCCCCCCAAGGCCTGGGAGTCCAGGCTGGAACGGGCCGAGAGGAGCCTGTCGGCCTCGCTGAGACTGTGCCGGGACAGCTCCTCCAAGCCATCGTCGCTGTGGTCCAGCCTCTCCAGGTTGACATAGGTGCCCGTGGCCTCGGTGGAGCCCCTGGTGCGGCACTTGCGGCAGCGTCTCTGGAGAGCTCCGCAGCAGACTAGCAGCGTGAGAGGCACAGCGATGACAGCGGCCACGCTGATCACCACCACGTTGATGAGCCGCTGGGTGCCCTCGGCGTCCACCACCTCGTCGGTGGAGAAGATGACGCACTGCTCCTTCCGGGGCACCAGGCCCCGCACGCAGACACATGCCACGTACTTAGTCTTGGGCACCAGCCCGTGGATGGTGACACTGGTTTTCCCAGGCTGCACAACCACTCGCCGCATGTTGCGCTGCCCAAAGACGGCATAGAGAACGCTGAAGGCAGTTGTGTTTTTAGCCTGGGGGGCCTTCCACACCAAGGACACGCTGTGGTAAGTGTCCCCCACCACCTTGAGCGACCTCACCATGCGGGCCTCCTGGGGTTCCACCTGCCCGGCAGAGGGCTCTCCGAGGGCACCCATCTGGAAGTGCTGGAGGGTCAGTTCCTCCTTCATGCCGGGCACAGAAGGCCCAGTGGCCAGGACGGCAGGTTCTGGGATATGGGGGACATGCCTCGCCACCAGCTTGTTGTTGTAGACGGCAGCTTCCGCCCCCTCGCCTGTCCTTGCCCACAGCACCCCTGGGCTCCCACTGTGCTCTGGGGAAGTCTGGGAGTCAGTGACAATCAGGGAGATGACAGTCTCGGAGGCCCCCAGGAAGTTCTTGGCCTGGCAGACGTAGTCTCCAGAGTCAGGGTAGGACACCGCAGGCAGGCCCAGCAGACTCCAGCTCGTGCCGTCACTGGACACTTCCTGGCGCACTGGGAGAAAAGAGGCACAAATGGGAGAATGAATGAGCCCATCTGCCCCATGCTCCCTTCCAGGGCCAAGTTCACAGCCCCTGGGCTGCAAACAGCCTATCGAAGACCCCGTCACCCTGAGAAAACACTGGCAGTCATTCAACTTTTCTTAGACCAGCCGAGGGGATCAAGATTGCCTTGAGCTCAAATTTGGGGAGCCCCTGGAGGCCCAGCCTAAGGCAGAACCTAAGAATGACATCCCTTCCAAATCTGACATGTTCAAACTGTGTTCATCAGGGCCCTGGAGTTCTGCAGAGGTGACACCTCAGGGCGGCAGGCAGGTGCACTGGGGGAAGGTGGATCTGGGTGACCGTGGGGCCAAGGCTGGCTGGACATGCCCTGCCCACCCTGCCCGGCCCCTCTGCTGCTTCAGCTGGAGTATTTTCACCCTCCTGTTTTACGTAGAGGAGTCCCTCATACAATTGTGCTTATACATTGATTTCAAACCCACTGTCCTAGAGCAGTGGTTACCAACCTTGTTGAGAGAGACACAAAAGAAAACTGGGAGGGATAAGAGGCCAAGTGCTAAGAAATCCTCCTCTTTTCTTTCATTCCTCCTCAACTTTCTTTCTACCTGCAGGTGGCCAGGACTTCTGCAAATGACCCCCACCCCCTGCCATGACAGAGACAAGCCACCTCTGTCCGCACCGCATCGCAGAAAGAGCACACACCGTGCAGTCAGCTAGATTGTACGGGCTGTGTGATGCAGGCCACGCATTTAACCTCCCAGAGCCTCAGTTTACTTGTATACAGAATAAGAAGAATAATCAGGCTGCTCTTTAAAGTTCAATGACATCGTGAGCATAATACACTTAGCGCAGTGCTAGATCCACGCCAGGAGCTCAATAGATGGTAATTCTCATCATTAATTACTCCAGGTGATTCTGGCTTAGTATTTACAGAAGGGAATCTTACTATAAATATTAAATACACTAAGAGGATGTCTTCTACCAAAAAGTCAGCTTTTTGCTCCTCTCAGAATGGGCCCTGAGTTTCCCACAGAGTACCTGGTGGAAATGACAAGACAGGTTGAGAGCCATCAGCATGACTGAATCTGCTGCCCCCATTCGCTGCCCCCGGGCAGACCCTGTCCCACCCCACGCAGACAGCTGGGAGCCCAGCCTTGCTCAGACAGCTTCCCTCTGGCCCTGCGCTCTCTGCATTGGGACGCCCTGCCTGCCCCCGCCTGGATCTCGGCACAGCATCCCTGTCTCTCACACACCTGTGCCGTTGAGGGGGCTGCCACTGGCCCTTCTCCAGCTCATCTCGGGCCCAGGGACCCCGGTGGCTCCACAGCGTAGCAATGCTGTGCTGCCCAAAGAGGACTTGACACTGGCCACCCCCGGACGGAGCTCCGGGCCCTGGCACTTCCTCAGTTCCAGCTGGCTGAAGGCCACTCCGGCCAGGCTGCGCGGACTGGCACACCTCACCCGGGTCTCGATGAAGGCCAGGTTTGGGGCCCAGCCATCCAGGAAATGGACCAGGTCATAGAGTCTGCAGTCACACACCCAGGGGTTGTCTTGCAGCCCTGCAGGGGTGAAAAAGAAGACAAGATATTCAGATAGATCAGCAGGTCCCACTCCTCTTCCCCCAGGGAGGACAAGGCAGATCCTCAGCTCAGAGTCAGCAGCACTAGCCCCTGGGCCCGGCAAGGCCAGCTCCTCGCCTTGCTAGTTTTATGACTGAAATCTGATTCTTCATCTTGAACGACAGCATTAATTCCCTTTCAGGGTTGCTGTAAGCATAAACAAAGATAAATCATATTAAGCACTGGGTAGGCCATACAGCATAATGACAAAATTGGCAATTACTTTTGCCATTCTCGGACTGAACTTTTCAGGCCATTGGCCAGGCAATATTTCTGCAATAATTACAATATGCCAAAATCCAATTCTAGAAATGCTTCACTGGCCCCCAATCCCCATCCTCCTAGGATAAGTGACACTTTCAGCATCACCTGAGCAATGAAGGTGGCTGCTCTGAGCCACGGTCCCTTTGATATAGGTTCAAATGGGGGTAAATAGTGGAGTGAAGAGGCCAGAAAATCAAATCCTAGGGTATATCCCCAGCCTCTTTACTCTAAAATTGAACATGTTTATAGAGCTAAAAGTAGGTAGCTGCACCCACTCTGTCAAAGAACCGTATAAAGATAGAGTGGTACCATGTCTCCTCAACTCTAATGCACAATTCCTTCTTATAGGTTTGCATTTCTGAAATGCAAGATAAATGCATTTGATGTGATGTCCCTTTTATCCTCCAAAGACTGTTATTAAATTTGATAGTCTAATAATAAATGACATCGTGTACATTTACATACATATATTTGATATATTTGGAAGGGGGAATGTCAAAGAGTTGGGGAGGGTTAATTCAGACCTGGTTGTATATTCATGACTCCCAGGTCCCTTTGAGCACTAACTAAGGGTGCCAGTTTCTTCTCCCACCTCCCCTTCACCCCATCTTACCAGTGCTGCTGCCTTGTGTCACTGGTTAAATGCCTTTAATGATATGTCTGCAACCCAAGACTCATCAACGCCCAGCTCTGGTGGTGAGCTATCTGGCTGTCACTTTATCACAACAGGGTTGAAGAGAATCAAGGCAAAAAGCAAAGTTATAGGACAGTGAAATTTTCAACTGTCAAATTGCAAAAGTTAAACATTTTGACCATTTTAATTGTTAGCTCCATGAGTGAATAGATTTTCATCTATTTTGTTCTCTGCTGTTTCCCCAGCACCCAGAATTGGAACACACTCAAAAATACTTGCTGGGTGAAAACATGAATGAGTGGTCTTACACATTTACTGAGTGGAGTGAGAATTGCCCCCCCCCTTTAGAGACTATCGGATTGATTTTTAGATGTCTAATATGCACACTCTGTGACCTAGAAATTCCACTTCTCTGCTCCTATCCTGGAGAAACATTTGTACGTGTGCACCAGGATGCATTGCCAGGAATGTTCTCTGTGGCATCGTAGGTTTTAACGAAATAATGGAAACAATCTGCAAGTCCACTAAACGGGGAATGGCTAGATAAACTATGGTATAACTATGTTTACCCTATAAACAAAGTATACTATGGAATATTATACAGTAGTTTAAACAAATGAACTTGATCCATTTGTAGTAATTTAGACAGATCTCCAAGATATATTGTTGGGTCAAAAAGTTACTGATTAATGCATATAATATGACAAAATTTTACATAAGACACACATAACTTTTCTGTGCGCATGTATGTATGTGTGTATACATGTATGCATATGTAAATATATCTTAAAAGATTTGCAAACAACTATAATAGTATCTACCTTTGGGAAGGGGTTGGAATAGGAAGAGAGGACAAGAGGGTCTTTGGCATTTTCTGTGATGTTTTAAATGTTTACATATATTCATGGATGAGTCGTATAATTCAAATTAATTATCCAGAGTGAGTTACACCTCCATCTGTCATCCTCACAGCCAGGTGCCTTGGGCGGGAGAGGAGGATCTGGTTCACCTGGTAAGCCATTGGTTTGTTATGAACAGGAAAGAAGCCGCGAAATACAGCGCCAGCTGGCGTATGTGCCAACCCATTCAACTCTCAGCTGGGAAATTGAGTCTCAGAGGACCTTCTCCTGTGCGACCCAGTTGTGTGACCCGGAAGACCTCTCCTGTCACACTGGGATTTGAACTGCCACAGTCTGGCTTGGGCCTTGAACTCCTAAACTTGCTACTCTCGTCGATCTCACTCGGTTTTCACACAGGCCCGGAAAGCAGGTCTGATGTCACTTTTCTAGATAAAGAATGGAAACTCAGAGGGGCGTGGTATCCTGCCTAAGACCCCATGCGAAGGATGCCGTCTCTTACCTAGGACCAGTCTGGTATGGTGGCCGGGGACGAAGAGGCCCGTCTTCAGCGGAGCCCAGGTGCCCAGCAGCTCCTGCGGGAGCCTCAGCAGCTGGTTGCCGGAGAGGTCGAGGAAGGTGAGGTTGCCCAGGAAGCGCGCGGCCTCGGGCGGCACGGCAGACAGGCGGTTGGCCTGCAGGTCCAGCAGGCGCAGCTGGGGGGCGTCCCTGAGCGCCGCCCAGGGGAAGGCGACCAGGCGGTTCCCGGGCAGCCGCAGCTCCCGCAGGCGGCGCAGGCCCCGCAGCATGAGCGCGCTGAGCTCGCCCAGGGCGTTGTAAGGCAGCCACAGCTGCTCCAGGCGGCCCAGGGGCCTGAAGGCCTCGCCGGGCACCTTGCGTATGGCCGTCCGCTCCAGGCGCAGTCTGGAGGTGTCCGGAGGGATGGACGCTGGGGGCAGGGTCATGTCGGGGTCGTTGCACACCACAGTCCTGGTCACAGAAATGGGGGATATTTGAGCGGGGGTCCCCGGGCGGGGATCGCCCACTGCTACCTCCCTTCACGAGGCCTCCGGGTCTGCCTGTTACCCCAGGACACCAACACCAACACGGGCCCCAAGCCCTGGGAGCTCTGGGAGGGGCCCGGAACAAGCAGCCTCGCTTTTTCCCTTTGGGAGCGGGGGTCTTGCTTTCAGAGCCTTTCACAAGGGTCCCAGGAGGGCCATCTGGTCTTCACTGGCCTGCAAGACCTCACACTCGCTGTCCCACTGTTAGGGCCCATGACAGCCCGCAGCACCTGCAGTGCACCGAGAATGAGCAGTAGTAATAAATCCTGCGATCACCTCGTGCAGTGTTACCTTGCATATGTGTTAAAGTGTTTGTTAAATTACACCTCAATTTTTGTAACTGTTTGGCTTTTCATCGTATTTTAAAAAATATACCAGAGGCATCAAAAATGGAAGCACCCTAGGTCTCTCCTGACTCTGAGTGTCCATGAGATGACCAAGGTGCGCAAAAGTTGGGACTTGGCAGCCACACAGCTGGGTCCACATCTGGGCTCTTTGCTGGCTGTGTGTCCTTGAGTACGTTAAGTAACCTCTGTTTTCCTCAGTTTTGCCATCATAAAAGACCCCACTTCACTGAGCGATTATGGGGTTTAAATGAGATAATGTATGTACGAGCCCAGCATGCTGCCTGACACCCCAAACGAGCCCAGGGCTACTGATCACCGTTGTAAATTCTGCATCTCAGCCCTGCAAGTAAATTGGGTCAGTCGTATCAGCTCTTTCTGCCCAAAGCATGACTTCTGAAACCTTATTCTATTAAGTTTGAGACTAAAGCAAAGGACAGCGAGACAACAGGAAGCAGTCCCCGCCCTTGAGGAACCGACACTGCAGCGCTGCGTTTTATGGGACCAATGTCAGCTGCCCACTCCTATAAGTTACGATGGAAAGGGAACAATTCCCAGGAAGGTAAAACTTGTAGGCTGGGCTTCGAGGACGAGCCCTTGTGCAGCCCCAGTTTCATCTGGAGTGGAGGGCTCTTCTGCTCACACTGGAGGGGACAGGGTGGTCTTGTTTTGTTTTGCTAAGGGAGGTAGTTCTCTTGGCATAACACGACATACTGCTCACATTAGGCCTTCCTGGTGTCACACACCCCACCGGCATCCGTCTTCTTCACTCACACACTCTACTTAGAGGCAGCTGGGCTGGCTTGTTTTTCCTTGTAAATGGTGCCCACAGATGGCACAGACATTCCCACTCACTCATGTTGCTCACATATACATGGAATTCCTACTAAGTGATGGGAGATTCAGAAAAGAATCAGACCCACAGCCCCTGTGCCTGTACAGTTTATAATCTAGCTCAGGAAGAGCACTAAGGCAATGATATTTTTGGCTAATAATGCAATTTGGGTATTGCAGGGAGGAAGGTGTGGATGTAGGTGGGAAGAAGGGAGTTGATGGGAAAACACATCTTGGATGGGAGAGAATACGGTCAAGAGAGGTATTAAGGGAAACCAATAAGAACCCACCATGCTGAGTGTGGTGGCTCAAGCCTGTAATCCCAGCTACTAGGGAGGCTGAGGCGGAAGGATCAGTTGAGGCCAGGAGTTTGAGACCAGCTTGGGCAACATAGTGAGAACCCCGCCTCTAAAAATAAATTTTTTAAAAATTAGCTGGATATGGTGGCACATGCCTGTAGTCCCAGCTACTCGAGAGACTGAGGCAGGAGGATGGCTTGAGCCCAGGAGTTTGAGGCTGCAGTGAGCTATAATTGTGCCACTGCACTCCAGCCAGGGTGACAGAATGAGACCCTGCCTCTAAAAAAGAAAAAAGAAAAAGAATAGCCCAATGCAAGCCTATAGCACAACTCCTCCTATTGGGCAAACTGGGCACAAAGAGGATGGGGACACATCTCTCCAGGTACCCAGCCTGGGCCCTCCCACAGGTACGCACACTCTGTTCACAACTCAGGAATGTGGAGGTGGGCAGGTTGCCCAGGCTGCTCAGATATAAAGGCTGGACTCCTTGAGGGGCCCTGGTTAGGGTCTGAGGAAGGCATCTGAGATGTAAAGGGAAGCCTTGGTTTAACTACACAATCTGTGGCCCTGGCGAGTGGGACCTCAGGGCCCCTGCAGTCTTTCATGGCTTTGTTTCCCTCACAGGACGCTCCATGCAGATGGGCTGGTGCACATCAGTCATGGGACGGTCGGGCAGGCAGAACCAGTTGTAAAAGCTCTGACTTCAGAGGAGGAAATGGCCACTGACACAGAGGCCTTTGAAACTGCCCTTGGAATTTCATCTTCCGTCCTAAGACTGGCTCTACTGCCTGGAACTCTCCCCTGTTCCCCACTCACAGCAACATGACAGATGGGAAGAGTTCTAGAAATGGAACCCAGAATGCCTGGGTTGCAGGACCAGTTCCATCAGTGATGCTGGGTGACTTTGAGCCCTGTGCTCTCTGTGGGTCGTGGAGAAAGCTCTTAGTCACTCTGGTCACACTTCCCTTGGCCATGGGCTATTTCCCAGCCTGCTCAGGGCTCAGCCTGGCTTCCCCTGGGAAGAGTATCCTTACCCTCCATACAGGTTGGAGCCTCAGACACTTGGCCCAAATGGAGCTCTCCCTCTTCCTCAGACCACACAGGGTGTCCTTTCCTGGTGGGCCCTCTCCATCCTCTGGTCCCCTAATCACCCAATCAACTGGACACACATTGCCCAGACCATAGGAAGGGTAGCTCTGGTAACATTGTTCCCCTGGTCAGAGACCATCAGTGGCTCCCACTAGTTATCTAAGGCAAGGGAGAAAGAAAGGATGAAATTCCAGAAGGTTGGAAAGATGATAGGAAAGGCCACTAGCCAGGGGCCAAAATCTCTGTGCAAGTTAGCAAATGTAGAGGTCATTAATGGATAAGCTGAAGAAGTTGGAGAAAAGATGTTTTAAAGACTGCTAAAGAGAAGAAGAAAATGCACCCTAGAGGAAGAGCAAGGGTCCACAAAGCACAGTGGCCTTGGATCGTCCATGGAAAGGGAGGAGGAGAGCATGGAGGTCTTCCGAGGGAGGAGACGGCGGCTGGGTGGAAGTCAGGAGGAGGCTGGGGTGGAGAGGGCACACTTGCCACGGGTGGGCACTCCCGGCCTTTCAGAGCCCCCGTGGAAAGGGGTCAAGACTGAGGCTCCCAGGGTGGCCGGAGGAGACCCACAGGGGAGGAGTGAGAGGAGGCAGGTGGTCCCATTATGACAGGGTGGTAGGAAACACCTGCGGTGTGACTGGGTATCCCTGGGAGGCAGCAAGGAGAATGGAAGAGGCCTGGGAAAGAGGGGCTGGGGAATTACAGACAGGAAGGTAGAACGGCAGGAAGCAAGAAGGGGAAAAGAAAGAGGTCTTTAGGGAGGGCACCTCTCAAATGGGAGCCTGGAAGAGGGCTCAGAAAGGACTTCCTGGAACTGGCATACCTGTGCCCCACCCCTGCCCCATGTGTAAAGGTACCTGCTACGTCTTGGACAGAGCCATCCCCTTGCTTGCTGGAAGAGAATGCAGCGCGGACCACCCCCGCAGGAACCTGGGATCTCACCCGGCCTCAGTCTGAGGGCCCTGCCTCCAACCCCTTCCAACCCAGCCTAGCTGGAAACGCGAAGGGGGCTCAGCCACCCACCCCACATACCCAGTGCCATACCTGGCCTTGCTGCCATCGCCTAGAATATGGAGGCTGCAGCTGCACAGAGATGGGCAGGAGCCCCGGGCCTGGGGGGGCCACCCAAGGGCCAAGAGCCAGAGCATGCCCACTGCCAGCCTCATGACTCCTGGCTCCTTTCCGGTCCCAGCAGGGGCCTGTCCCAGGACTGCTCTGTCCTGCCAGCCCAGCAAGCCCAGCAGCAGCCCACTTGCTCATCGGCCCCCGACACCCGCCCCTGAGGCCATGGGATAAACACGGACAGGCTGGGGATTAGAGGGGGAGTCCCAGCCACAGCACTCAGCGGCTTATTGCTTTCTGAATCACCCAGTCCTGAGGGGGAGGGAGTGAGGGACCCCCTTCCATAGCCAAAGCACCCCATGCCAACCAGGCTGTGGACAACACAGACCCCACTGGGGTGCTGGGCTCAGGGAAGATGGAGACAGAACCCTGGCTTCTAATAAAGGCCTTTGGAAATTGGTACTGGGGGTTGAGATCTGTTGAGATCTTCATGCCCCTAGTCGCTCATGCCCATGGGCCTGGGCAGGTCTAGACCAGTGAGGTATGACCCAGCGAGATACCCAGGCCCCAGTGCACACCTAAAATGCCCAGCTCTGTGCCAGGCCTGTTCTAACAACACTGGCTTCCAGGAGCTGTTGGTTTTCATCCCTTACTCTCTTCCAATCCAGCCAACAGGATTTTCCCAATGCTTCCCACCTGTTCCTCCTCCCCAAACCCAGCGACCAGCGTGTCTGTTCCCTCATCTCTGCCTCTTCCTCCTTCTGTCCTCACCTAGCTGAACTCTACCCTCTGTTCCTGGCTGTGTCCTGCTTCCCGTCTTTGGTGATCTTGCGGGCGTGGAAAAAGGACTGACATAGGTATTAACCGACAACCTAAGATAGAAACTAGGAAAGGCAGGAAATAGAATGAGTCGCTCCATGAGAGCAAATCAGAAGATGTCAAGGACAAGTGCCTGAGCCCGGGGGGTGATCGGGCTTTGGTTCCAGCTCCATCCATGAGTCACTGAGTGATCCAGGCTGGTTCTTAGCCTCAGTTTTCTCATCTGAAATGGATAATGATATCTAATTCATGGGGTCGTTTGTAGGCTTGTTAGAAGATTCTTCAGCACAGTGCCTGGCCTCAATAAACATTAGCCATATTGCCAGCAGTGCTCTTGGGCTTGGCTTCTTCATGTGATAATGAGTTAAGTTGCACTAGATCAGTGTTTCACGATTCATATTTTACCTCGAGCCAGCACACAACAGTGCATAATGCACCAGTGTTCCAAGAAGTCATTTGGAGAAGCCAAAGCTCTTAGCCTGGGGCCTGGAGCCACTTACCAAAGAGAGCAGCTCTCTACTCCAAGCCAGTGTCCTGGAGACTTTCTGTGCTTGTCTGGCTCGAGTGCTCTGTGGGAGACAGGAAATGCACCCTGAGGTCTATATCCACAATGCATTCTTCTAACTGGGACTTACACAGGCTATGGGCAAAAGACACTTAACATTGCAAACGGGGAACCTGGGAAGAGCCCAACGGTCCCACTCCAGGGCACCTAGCTAGTTAGTGGCAGATTCAGATCCAGAACCCCAGTCTCTAGTCCAGTTGGGGTTCCTTCTCTGACAGCAGGTGACTTCCCAAACCTCATCCTTTCCCCAGTGCTTGTGAGCACACGCATGTGAGCCCACGGGCACACACACACATGCACACAGGCGCTCAGCTTGTCAGTGCTACAAACATGAAAGGTCCTGGCCCCTCTCCAATTCTCAGGAACAGCTGCAGCTCAAATCCTTCCCTGGCTCCCCTCCCTTGGTTATGCAACTCTGTTCCAGTTCGGCCCTCAGCCATACACCATTTGGATTCCCCAACCTTAATCCTGGGCAGTGGGGCTGGGATGAATGAGACAGCTCCATTCTGGCTTCACAAAGGCTGCCCTGTCCAACTGGTGAAGGGGTTCCTTCTGCTGGGGCCAAGAGGATCAGTTAGAGGGGGGAGGCAGCAAGAAGGAGCCCAATGTCTAGCATAATAACCTGCATGTGCCCTCACGAGGGATGGCCCTTTAAAAGGGAGGGGCCTGGCTGTGGGGAGCCAGAGACAGCTGGGCCACGGCAGGGAGGGACAGTGAGGATGGCAGAGCCCGGCACCCTGCCCACCGGCTTCAGGGAGCTTGAGGTGCTGGCTGTGGGGACCGTGCTGCTGGTGGAAGGTGAGCCAGGCAGGACCTGGGGTGCAGCAGGGGCCCAGCGGGTTCTCAGGACTCAAACCGCCGCCGTGCAGCTGGCAAGAAGAGGTCCCCAAACCCAGCAGGGTATCAGGCCCTCTTAGTTGCCTGCTCCTCGGTGCCTGGACCCAGAGGGTCCTCTGACCGCGTACGCCAGCTGGGAGCCAAGACACAGAAGCCAGGCAAGGTCAGGGAGGGAGGGACTTTGAGAGGTGGACATCTGCCCAGGAGATGACCAAGAAGCAGGCTTTAAGATTTTTTATATGCTTCTGGCTGGGAGAAAATTTAATCCACTCCCTGGAAGTCCCGATAAGAATCCCGTGTAGGATCAGGCCCCCGAAAGGCTCTGGAGACAGACAGCTCTGCCACCTGCTCTTGTGTGACTGTAACCAAGTCCCATTTGCTCTCTACCTTCGATGCCTTGACATTCCACACGGGTGGTCGTGCGTGGGAAAGTGGGTACAAAGCGCTAGCCTAGACAGACACCAGGGGCATTTAAGTTCATTCACTCCCATCCTCTCCAGCCCCACCACTACTCCCACCGTGACCCTAACATTTCCCCTCTCGGCGTACTTGGGTCCCTGAGCGGCCTGCCCCCACCTGGAATCCCTAAGGTGCCGCTGTGGCTGGAGCTAGAGGCGGTGTCGATCCTGGAGCAGAGCCGGCCCAAGCTGGACTGATGGGGAACGCAGCCCTTGTTCAAAGCAGATCAGGGCAGCAATCAGCGCATTTTCTCCTAAGAAACTGAAGGTGGAGACGGAATGATAGCCACTAGCCTGGTCCTCTAGGCCCTGCACACAATTGTCTGGTGATTCCAGCCCGTTTCTCCCTTTTCTGAGAGCCCTACAATCTAGAACCCCTCCAGGTCCTCAAACATGCCACAAAACTTTTAAAATACGCTTTATGTATTTGCACATGCTATTCCCTTTTTCTGGAATGCCCTTCCATGTACTGTCCTCCAGGTAAACGCTTACAGTTTTGAAGGCAGGATTCCTTCCTGTCCCTCACCTTGGGTGGGGGAAGCCGAGGCTCAGAGAGCTTAAAGGGCAGCGAGTGAGGGACCAAGCTGAAGTTCAAGGACGGGTCTCTCTGCCTCCTGAGAACTCTCCCCTCAAGTTCACCTCTCTGCCTGGCATCCCGGGCAGCTCCCCGCTCTAATATCGATTCCTCCTTTCTGAGGCTCTCCCTGACATTGCTCCACAGCCCTTGGAGGAGGCATTTTGGAATCCAAAGGACCTGAGTTTGAGTTCCAACTGCACCGCGTACTGGCTGTGCACTTACGCAAGTTAGCTAGCATCCGGGAGACTCGGGCTCCTGGCTGCAGATAGAAGAAAGTATCCAAGTGAAGAGGGAACGAGGTAAAGCCATGTCATGGTGCCTGGCGCATGACAAGTGCTTGGCAGGTGTCCCTGGTGGTGGCCGTTAACAGCACGAACGTGCTGCCCGTGCGGATCGCCCTCCTTGTTGGTCTGGGAGGATGCAGCGGCTCCACTCGCCTCACGGGTCCTGTTCTGACCCCGGCTGGGCCTCAGCGGCCCGAATGCCAGCCCCGCCCTTCCTTTCAGCTCTCTCCGGTCTCAGCCTCAACGGCCTGACCGTCTTCTCTTTCTGCAAGACCCCGGAGCTGCGCACCCCCAGCCACCTGCTGGTGCTGAGCCTGGCTCTTGCGGACAGCGGGATCAGCCTGAACGCCCTCGTCGCGGCCACGTCCAGCCTCCTCCGGTACCAGCCCCCTTTCCCAGTCCACAGGCTCCGGGGCCCTGCCTGGGGCCTCACCTCTGGGCACTGGGCAGCCAGGCCTGAGGGTTCTTCCAACCTACAGAAGAGTGAGCAAGGGCGGAGGGGACAGGCTGAACTGGCTAAATCCGAGTTCCAGATTATCCCTGAAGTACCAGGGCCAGTTTCTGGGAGACAAAGAGATGGCAGGCTGTAACCAGACGACCTGGATTGGAGACGTGGCCTCGTCTAGTTCCGGGCTTCTTTTGCAAATTGGATATTATTGCCTCACTCATAGGGTTGGGTAGAAGCATTGACTTTTATTATTTGTAAATAACTTAAAGCAATGCTTGGCAAGGTGCCCTGAATAAGCGTTTGTGAAAGCAAACAGGATTTGGACTGGTGTGCAAACCAGGGTCTTCTAGCTCGGCTTGGGGATGTGTGTAAGATTGTTTTCTTAAGCAGACTGAACATTCTGCTCTGGTTTGGGGCACTGTGCATGGAGCCCGGAGCCCCCTGGGTGTGAGTGCTCAGGGCTGTCCAACCTGGGGGTCTGAGTCAGCGAGGATTCCTCCGCCCACAATGAACTGAAGCTTCCACCTTTACTCGGCCCATGGGGCTGACAGCTGGGGGACCTGTTCTGCCCCCCGCCTGTGCCTTCACCTGCTGTGTGACTTGGCTTTAGTACCTTTTCCTCTTTGAGCCTCAGTTTCCCCACCTATAGAACGAAGGCGTGAGCTCTCCTGCGACGGAGGCGTCCGGTCACTCAGAGACCCTTCGGCCCAGCCCTGGTGCCGTCGGAGTCGCTAAACCTGCAGAGGGTGCGTTGGGCTCCACGCCTTTGCCCAGTGACTTAAGCTCTAAGGCCTCAGTTTCCTCATAGGGAAAACACAGAAAATAAGGCCCTCACTGGAGGGGCGGGGACGACGCTCAGGAACACACTGCCGAGCTGTGCTGGGCAGGTGTGGGAGGCGGGATGGGAGGAGGGAAGGGGTCGCTGGTGCCCGGTGTCTCCCACAGGCGCTGGCCCTACGGCTCGGATGGCTGCCAGGCTCACGGCTTCCAGGGCTTCGCGACGGCGTTGGCCAGCATCTGCGGCAGCGCGGCCATCGCCTGGGGGCGCTATCACCACTACTGCACCCGTAGGTCTCTGGGCTCCCCGTGGCACGTGGGGAGGATAAGGGGCGGGCGGGGGTGGTAGGAGC